AAAAAGTCGATTAAGATGGCAGAATGGTCTTTGACATGGTTCATAAAAGTCCAACTACCCTAACTCTACAGTCGATGTGCCATCACCTCTCCGCTGATCACTAGATCCAACGGTGAGAGATCTAGCAGAGCTTCCATTGGTCAAAATGGCGTCCACACTGCGCTCATAACACACACACACACACACGCTAAACGCTGCATTTTGTTGAGTTTAGCTTTAATTGCCGTGGTTCCAACTTAGGGCCACCAAACCAAGGAGCCATACTAAAAAGATGGACGTACTTTCGTCGTGTAGCGCTAGTACACCACTTTGGGTTACCTTTGGCCCCCATCTTACTGCCACAACCCGTCTACCAACCCACAATGAATTGCGAGCTTTGTTAACCTTGTATTCAAGATGCTCTCTTCAGTTCAGTTAACAATCCAAGATGATTCCTAGTAATTTGCGAAATTTCACAGTAATATGTCATAACAAACAGGCCAGCTCTATCTTTAACTACGTGTCGTTAATAAAATGTCAGGATGTATAAAGCTCTGTTGTCACTGTTTTCCAGCGTAAGCTAGTTGTAGGACATAATATTTGCTTGGATCTCCTACATACAATAGACAAGTTTCTAATGGCTTTACCTGAAGACTACTATGACTTTAAAGGCATGGCACATGATTTATTCCCAAAGTAAGTGTATTCTTTATTAGACAAGATGAAAAATAGTACGTTTTTATTTACACGCCTGTATATAACAAAATATGTCAACCCAATTTTCACCAATTTCAAGAAGTCTGATTAACTTGGAAATTTGCACAGGAATCAAGCGCCGATGACAATACAATGATTCTAAAAAAAAATCGAAATTGTAAATTTTATAAAATGAATGAATGAATTTTGAAATTTGGAAAAAATGGATTTGAAAATTTGGAAAATAATATGAGGATTTGGAAATTTTGGAAATAAATTTGAAATAAATTTACCAAAAATCGGAGTTCGTAGAAGTAAGATAATAACAAAAATTCAATTGTTGCAAAAAAGATGGTGCAATCAACTATGTTTTCATAATAACTCCAATTTTGTAAATATACTGATGGACAAAAAAAGGTAAACAACTACGTATATTTATTAGAATTCAAGAATTTTTTACATATCGATTTATCTTGCCATGAACAAGTGATAAAATGGTCAGGTTTTTCTGTTAAGTTTTTGTGGTGGCTGCGTGTATTGTTTGGTAATGAAGAAGCATTCAGTTTTCGTACGGTGTCAGTTAAATGTTAAATATCGCGTAGCTTATTGAGAAGCCTTGGTGTACGAGCAAGTGACTTTGAGAGGTCGAATTGTCGGGTTGTATGAAGCCGGTCTATCGATAAGACCAGTTTCTAGGAGGACCAATAGATCCTTATGCAGTGTGAACGAGCGTGGACTCAGGACTCATTGGGTGCTACCTCTCACAGCTGCACTTCGGGGTAACCGTTTCCTCTGGTGTAGAGAAAGTTCTATGGGGCCGGGAATGGAATCTGGTGATCTTAGTGACGAATCCCGCTTCTGTCTGAGGATGCACGATGGTCGGGCAAGAGTGATGAGGCGACGCGGTTAAAGACGTAACCCATAATTTGACAGAGAGCGTCACGTTCACCACACCGTGGGAGTTATGATATGGGGTGCTATTGCTTATGGTAGCATATCACCACTAATTTTCATCAGAGGCAATATGACAGCCCGACGCTATAACCAGGAAGTAGTGGAGCCTCATCTTATTCCATATCTAAACACCATCCAAAACCTGATTTTTCAGCAAGACAATGCCAGACCGCATGTTGCCAGAGCATCGTTAGCCCTAATGAATTAACATCGCATCAACCGTTTACCTTGGCCACTAGATCGCCTGACCTATCTCCAATTGAACATGTCTGGGACATGAGAGGTCGCAGGCTCTTGAATTTGCAACATCTTCCACAGACTTAAGCAGCTCTTACTCACGAAGTTGCAGTAGCCTGGAATGCGATACCCCAACAGGATATCGACCACCTTATCAGCACGATGCCCAGGCGTGTCAATTAGTGTATAAGAAATCGTGGATCCTCAACACATTATTGAACCATCTTCTGCAGTCAGTTGACGAATCAATCTAAAAATTTAATCATTTTGCTAGTAAGGGACAGTTAACATATCGTGGCCTTCCACATGTAGTGTCGTAGCTAACAAAAATTAAAAAATTGAGTTACGCCGCCCCAAAACTTACCTTGAACTGCTGCAAGTCCTTACAAAGTGACGTAACTATACGAGCAAAAACCTTTGAGCAATAGCAAAATAGATAAATTGTGTATCTAACAAAATTTCATTTTTTAATCACACTAAACAACGTAACTTGATGTACGACAGTTTGTGAGAAATAATTATAAGCGCAGTATCGAATCACATAAAGTGGCGTATGTGTAGTTACGTGAGTTTGTGTAAAATATTTTCGTCGCGGCTCTCGAGAACGTCGTGGTAAGTGAAGAAGCGTTAAAACGTGGTTTTTATGTTTGTGAACATAACCTATAAAAATAGCATTTCTGCATACAGTAGGATCTTTGTCACAAAAAATCTGTCTCTTTTCACCCAAAAGAGGATATATCGTCGTTGTGTAACGTATAGACAAGGGGATGATGAAGCAAAGAAAAAATTTAAAGAGAGATACGAAAAACATACCCTAGAGAAAGTCAAAGTGAGAGAACTTAAAGAAGAATCCAAGGTACAAGCATGTCAAGATAAATGTATTTGTGTAGTTTTCGATCTGCGACAGATGATTTATTGGCCAATAAGTCGGGAAGGCGCAATTTTTTATAAAACTCGTTTGTACAATTTCAATTTCATGTTTTATAATATAGCGACTAAAGAGTGTCTATGTTTTCCTTGGAACAAACCAATAAATAAGAGGGGAGCCTCAGAAATATCTAGTTGTGGGTCCAAAAGCCTCGAGTATTATATTGCTCAGCAAAAGGTATAAAATCTGTAGTTCTATATTCAGATGGATTCGATTATGGCTGCCATATTGTTGTATGCAGTTCAGAAAATCGAGGGAATGGAAACCATATTCTAAATTTTTTTGAGACGAATCATGGCGCAATAAGTACAGCTATTTCACAAGTTAGTGATATTTTTATTCCCAGACAAGTTTACCCTATAGTCGAATTAGTCAGACGAAAAAATCCATACAAAGTCATTACGATGGGCTGATCAGACTTTCTGGATTTTAAAATTTTGTCAAAAATGTTACGAGTTTTGAGAGTTCGTACCAAAATGAAAGTAAAAACTTGAATTAGACTGATGTCAAAATTAATGGTGGACAAAAAAGAACCTAAGAAAATATTTTTAAGCATAACCACTTTCACTCAAAGTATGACTTTACCGAACTACAACGATTGAAGGGTAAAGTAGGTAAAATTAAGGTTAATAATTTAAACAGTGCTCCACGGAATATAGTAAAGAAAAAATTCGACGAACTTACTTCGCTTTGTAAAGGGGATACTCCTGTTATAAAACTTACCGAAGTTTGCATTTGAAAAATTGCATTTTTCTGTTTTAGTTACCGTATTATACGAGTACTTTCAAGTTTTCTAGTTTATTCTTTTACTGTTTAAAAAAATTAACATTTGTATTTGAAAAACATATTTTTTTATTTTAGTCACTGTGTATTATAATTTTAAGTTTGCTGGTTGACCCTTATGCTGTTTAAAAAAATATATAATCTAATTAACTAGAAGTTTTTGATTGCCCACTGTCCTATAAATAGGAAGTCGAAAGAAAAAACTCTCATAAACTGCCGTAAGTGACAACTTTTTCAAAAATCTGGAAAATTCAATACTTTTTCAACCACTTTCACATAAAATTGGTTTACTTGAAAAGCATACTGTTCATTGTATTAAAAAGGCAAAGTTACCTCAAATAGTTTTTCGGTATTACTAAGAAACATTACACCCATTTTCGTTTTTTCGCTGTACTGGAAAATCTCTAAAATGTCACTTACGACACTATGTGTGGAAGGCGATGATATATGCCAAACATTATTGAAATCGGATAAACATACGTGTTGTCACTCAGTATAGAAACTAAAAAAATAATTCTAACATTCAATATCAAGCACCCTGAGAATTCTTACTATAATTGAATTTTTTGTTAATATCCTATTTTCTACTTTTCTATTTTCTATCAAAGCGTGTTTTTTAGTGTTTCAAACAATTACTTATATACATAAATATGTAGTACATTTTTATGGTATTTCAGGATATTAGATACTAAATACTTGTCAAGCTGTGAACCATTCAAGGATATTATCACTTCAAATGTACTTAAACATTTATATGACACTTTATCACAGGAGCCATTTGGAATTCCTACAATTGGTAAGTTGCTTTTTTGAAAATGAATATTAAAAACCTGGCGTTTTTGATTGTTGTTATTGCAGAAACAGAAGATGGTGTTCAAGGTTATACAATAGGAAATATTAAAGAGCATGAGGCAGGATTTGATGCTTATTTGACTGGGGTATGCTTCCTAGCAATGTGGAAATATCTGGGTAAATATTTTATATATGTTCACAATATAATTATAAGCAAAGTCATATTCATATAGAAAACATAAGATTTTTTTTTCGATAAAAGGTTTTTCTTGTAATATATTTCTTTATAATTCATTACTCTCTGAAATTAAATAGTTGACGTTTGCAAACTTTGAAAAACATGTGAATAATCTACTTTTAGAGCTAAAATTAAGAAAGTTTATCCTGCTCTACTGTTAATAAAATATCTTTTACATTCATATATCAGGTGATTACATTATTTATGTTTAATATTTTTATATTATACTCCTGATCATTAATCAAGTTTAAATTTTTGTTTGTGTATACCTATGTTGTGCATTGGTTAAGTGGTGGAATAGAGTAAGCTAAACTTCGTTCAAATTTATTATTATTATTTCTGTGTTTCACGACCCGTTTAGTCGGTTTCTCGTGGCTGGAAGACTTTCTCGTCTCAGCCACAGATGTAACGCTTTCTGTTGAGGTGCAATAGTTCTGCTTTCACATGTACAGGAATCGCCGTGACAAATTCCTGCATGTGTTGGAAGTTTTGAGGGTTAAGATTTAATTCCTTGAGTGATTTAAATAAAGATTTTGGGACTAATCCGGTAATAGATATAATTGGAATTGCTCGAGCTCGTTCATACTTCCACATATCTTTCACCTCAAAGCACATATCGATGTATTTGTTTATTTTATCCCGGTATGTTTCTTCCAAAGTGTTGTTATTTGGAAAGGCTATATCGATCGGTACTTTTTTGTTCCTTTTGTCTTTAACCATTGTGTCAGGCCTGTTGTGCTCGATTCTATTATCTGATAGAATGGTTCTGACCCAGTAGATTTCATAGTTTTCGTTTTCCAAAATAACTGTTGTTCGTATTGGTAGTGATTGACCTTATTTTCTAGTAGCTTGAATTTCAGCGCCAGTTTTTGATGTATGATTTTCCCTACCTCATCGTGTCTGAACTTGTACATTGTTTGGGCTGTAATGTTTTGGATAGTCTCACTTGCTCTTTTGCTCTTTTTGTATATATTTATGGTAATTTTTGGTTTTCATCTCCTTATCTTGTATGGCGATTAATAATCCTACAGTTTCGGGTTGCAACTGCCCAATTGTTCGACGCTTGCTTGTTGACAGCTTCTTGATTAACTTCATGAGCAAACCTTCCTTATTTTCACCAGATTACATTAATGGACTATACTTATCTGCGTTCACAATGCATTTGCAGTATTGAGACTTTGCCTGCTTCTCGTAGAAGTACTCTCTGAGGTTTAAAGTACTTTTGTTATCTAGGTTCTGTATGCCGGTCAGCCCTCTTCCTCCATCTTTTCTTTTTAACGGAAGTCTTTCCATTGCTGTTATAGGTTGATATATTCTATGTTTTGTCATGGCTAAGTTGGTTTGTGTCTGTGAGTTTTGAATGTGTAAGTTTAATAGAGGAATTGTGTATGTATTCATTGATTTGAACATATTTTTGGCATTCAATTTGGATTTTAGGATGGCGTTGACCCGATCAGAATACTTTTCGAATATATTTGCCTTAATCAATTTATGCTCTGTGTTCTTTTTCTGACACATTTCCAGGTCACATGTCTTCTACCAGCATTGGCTCTATGTCTGGTAGGTATTCTCTTTCTATTCTAGTTTCAACTTGTTTCCCTTTTGTAATTACCTGTATTTTACATTTTTCGAGGCGAGTTTCCATTCTGATGTTGTTTGAAAAGTCAAGTCTTATTTCTATAAGAGTTTGAGTTGGGTCTCTTGAATAGAGTTTTACATCATTCATATATAGCAGGTGTGAGAGAGTGTAGTTATTTGTATTACCATGTTTTGTTTTTCGCCCTTATTCGTGTCCTTCAAGCTGTTTGACAACGCGTTTAGTGCTAAGCAAAACCAAAGGGGGTTTAAGGAGTCACCCTGAAATATTCCATTGTAGATTTTGATGTATCGTTTCTATCTTTCCCTCTCGCGTACTTAAAATTATTTTTGTTCTCCACTGATTCATTGTTCTTTCCAAGAATTCTGATATTTTTGGATGTACTTTATACAGGGTGTAAACGTTATGATAGTCATTATTTAAATGGGTGATAGAGGGGGTTAAAAGAAGCAAAAAGTTTCATATAACATGGGGGTCAAAACGGCATTTTTTTTAGAAAAAAGCAACTTCAAAGTAAAATAAAATCTGACAACGCCGCAATGCTGGACGCAAATTACAACGGACCGCAGTGTAAATAAAGATGGAGTTTATTTTTGGCTCTTAGGTTTTATTTCATTATTTGATAATGTACTCGTAAAATGCAAACAATTAAAAAAAACGAACTTACCACTAACTGTCTCAGCGCTTCACCTGGTGTGTGAAAGTTTATTGAACGTATTAAAAAAAACCCCTTATAAATAGGGAACACAATTTCGATACGTACATTGTTTTTCTTTTTAAAACCCACACTGCACTTTCTTTGTATTTAAAGATGTTCAAAATGTCGTCCTCCACTTTCCACACAAGCTTCATTACGACGAACCCAGTTTCTTCTTACTGTAGGTCTTCGAAGTTGTCCATTTATTATTTCAGCCGCATTAAATTTTTTTTCGCGAAGTTGTGCTTCAGTTGTTATTGGACCAGCCCCATAAACCATCCATTTAAGTTCTCCCTAATACCAGAAATCCATCGGATTGAGGTCAGGAGATCTTGCTGGCCATTTTCGAGGATCAGGAGCATTTCGACCGATCCAGCGATTTGGAGAATGTTCATTCAAATACTGAATGACGCCTCTAAAAATGTGTGGTGGTGCCCCGTCATGAAGAAACCACAAATTCTGTCTCCGTTGTAATGGCATGTTGTCTAAGGTCAGTTCCAAAAGTTTTGGTAAGTTATTGGCTAGAAAGCTAAGGTATCCTTCTCCTGACAACTTTGGGGATAACTCGAAAGCGTCCATTACCTGATCGTCAAGAATACCCGCCCAAATATTTATTTTAAAACGTTGTTGGAAATTACCTTCACGAATGGTATGAGGATTTTCTTGGGCCCACGTATGAGTATTATGGATATTTAATATCCCGTCTCGCGTTAAAGTACATTCGTCCGTCGCTAAAATGTTTTTAAAAAAATCCGGATTTTCAATATTTTTATGCAAAAACCACTGACAGAATGTTAGTCTGCGAGGGTAGTCTTCTGGTAACAAGGCCTGCACTCGTATATGGTAGGGATAAAGCAAATTTTCCCGTAGGATTCTATGGACTATGGTATGCGATAGTCCTACGCGGCGGCCTAATTCCCGAGTGCTGATATCTGCATTGATTTCCACGATATTTAAAATTTGTTCCTCCTGCTCTACAGTAACCTGTCTTTCACGAGTGCGAATATTAGTGGGCTGAACACTTGCTGTATCTCGAAGTCTTTGGTACACTTGCACAAATGTCCTTTTGTCTGGGTGTACCCGTTGGCGAAATCTGTCGCGATAAATTTGAGCTGCAAGATTTGAATTCTGACGAGCTTCACCGTAAACTAACAACATGTCGGCGAACTCTTGATTCGAGAACATTGTAAATAAACACGACGACGTACGCGAACAATAACTAACCACTGTTACAGTTTGCGATCGATTGCCGCTTCGATAAGAGTGATGAATGACTGACCCGCTGTTGTCATGTGAGTTTTAAATATTTAATTTAATGAAAATTTCTTACTTACTGACTACAAATTTTGCCTTACGTTTTAGATTAGATTATAAAAATTAGTAAGATTGTGGTGATTGTGGTCGATATAAAGCACTTAAAGTTGTAAACTATAAAACCATTTAGACAAAAATCTATTGACTTTTGGACCATGGGTCATATGAACTTTTTGACTTGTTTTGATCCCCCCTATTACCCATTTCAATAATGACTACCATAACGTTTACACCTTGTATACTTCGAGTAATTTACCTAAGCAACCATGAGGGACGGAATCATAGGCTTTCTTAAAGTCTATATAGGCCATTACATGCTTCTTTTTTCTGTGACTACCATATCTATTTAGAGTTGTTCTTTGCAGCATTATTATTATTATTATTATTATTATTATTATTATTATTATTATTATTATTATTATTATTATTATTATTATTATCTTAAAACACAAACTGCTATAGAGTATTTTACAAGCATAATATAGAGATGAAAAAGAGAATATCTGAAAGCTTTACTGTGATGACTTGACTTTTCAAAATCAAAATTGTACATATATATTACAATCTATAGGTGCTGCGAAGAAGTTTGATGATACAAAAACATTTAGCAACTTTAATTTACTGGAGCCTTATATAAACAGGTATTTAATTGTAGTTTAATACTTACTTGATATGTTTCAATATACGGTTCTATTTTAAGGATATTTGTGATGAAACTGCTTGATAACCAGTACATCAACTTGGGTGGAAAAGACCGTATGTATAGTATCATTGATGTAGATTTTGTAGGAAAGGTTTCATTACTCCCCTCAAGCCCATCCGTATCAATGATTATTATTCCTTACCCTTTTTAGTTTTGCATGTAGTTTTATTAACATTAGTTTATATACAGGGTGACTTTGAAGTTGAGTCATTAATTTTCAGATAATGATTGTAGAAGGAAGATAAACCAAAATATGTGTGTAAAAATAAAAAAAAAATTAAAAAAAAATTTTACCTTGTTTTATAAAGTATCCTCCCGACAAGTATTTCAGTGCGGACCTGTATTTGATCGTGAGGTCCCCTGTGAGGTCTTAAGTCACCTGATTCACGAGCCCGTTGTACTACATTAACAAAGGCACGAGGGGTTGGTTGCACTCGATTGGGAAACCGATCCGCATAAACATGTGCCATTTTTTATTTCGTTTGAGCCACGCAACAGACACTATTCACACGCGACTGAAACTGACTGTATGTATAACTGAACTGAATTGTAATCGTAAAAACATCGTTCCAAATTCTTTCGCTTTTTTGTTTCCGATGCGATGAACCGTTGTTGCCAAACACGAACACATGATATTATTGAGACAGGGCGGTACTCAAACTTCCAAAGGGCTATAACTTTGTTACTTTAATTTTACCAGAAAAATGGTAAAGGAAAAAAACATTTCTTTTGATCAGATCTACACACTGTTAAAATAAATGACTCAACTTCGAAGTCACCCTGTATAGTACGTATTCCTGTAGCTAACACAAAGTGAATAATTGAAACATGTATAAAAACAATATAATGTGTTAACAGAGTTGAAGATTATTTAAAATATTACTCTCTTGTAGTCAACCCACCTAGAGATCACGTGTTCCATCTGACATTTCCAAAAGAATGGAGAGCAAACGATATCTCGCAATTATTCAGTCCATTTGGTAAGTCTTTTTTTTATTCATAATTCATCAAACACCTTGGTTGAACTAGACACAATTAAAAAATCCTTCATTGTAAACTCAATAAGTTGTATTTAGTTTCTGTCAGATAGTTATTCGAAAATATTTTCTTTAACCTACCATATTTTCGATTTTTTTTCTGAACATCTCCACCAAAGAAATTTTGTTAAGGCTGTTTATATTTCACTAATATGACATATACTTCAGTATCTTTAGACAAAGAATACATAATCGAGAAAAATTACAGGTAACGTTTATGTATCATGGATAGATGAAACGTCGGCATATGTTACGCTATACAAAAAGGACCAAGCTGCGAAAGCTTTGAATTCGCTGTCAAATGCTGAATCATATAAAATTATGACGTATGCCAAAAGAAAAGCGTTGCTGAGAGGTGTAAGTACTCCGTTT